ATGGCTATGAAGGATAAGTCAATAATGAAGTTAGTAGGCAAATATTGTTTCGACGTTTTGGCTGCTTTTGATAGCCTGGTCTAATTACTCGCGTGTACGTGCGTGTGTACGTATGTGTATTTATACATTTATCAACTTTTTTCATATATATTAATATCTATGTTATTGTTATAGACCGTAACGACTTATTTAGTTATTTACCCATGTATTCTATGTCCCAATATTGGGACTTCGTTTGAATAAATTATTATTATTATTATTATCTTATATCACTAGCGCATTATTAATCTAGCCGTCGAAGACTGCAGACCGGCAGCGAAAGCTTGTAACAAATAAATATTTTAACCAGAGAACGTTTACACAATTAACTATGAATCCTGGTTTCGCCTCCAACGTTTTTAAATCACAAAATTGAAGCTTACCTTTCAGTTGCAAGGAAACTATAATCCACATCACAAAATGAATATGCTTTGGAAACATCTTCTTTAATCAAGCAAACCGACGTTAAACTTTTGAGACAAGATGTAAGCATGTAGCTACGCTATGAAAGCGATAGACGAAATGAATCAATGTAGCGAGCAATATCGGATAAAGGCCTGTTCACATGAGGGCTGACGCGCTTTAAGCCGGATTTCCATTACTCATTAGACATTAGGCTGAATTTTTTTTCTTTGTCTTGTGATTTCTCGGGTGGAACCATAGGAGGCCCAATAATTAGTGGTAATAGGCATAAAAATGACTAAAATAGTTTAAAATTCGAAAAAATTTAATTGTGTTACCGTGAAAATATTCTACCAACTAGTTTTGTAGCCATAGGTGTGAATTTAAACGATGCGATGCTCAATCTCTGATTCGTAATTTCTATTTATATTGACAAACTGCTTGCTTCATATAGAATTTGCACATAAAGTATATACTGAGAACTTGCACACAAAGTCGTTTCTCCATTAAGCGGAATTTTGGGCGCGGAGCGGAATTTTTCTTTGTCTTGTCATTTCTCGGGTGGAACTAATGAGAATTTGCACAATAAAGTATATACTGAGAATCTGCACGTGAAGTACACTGATAATTTGTACATAAAGTATACTGAGAATTTGTATAGGTAATCGCATGGGGCCGAATAAAATTAACTAAGGTTTACTTTTACGCGTGTTTTCAAAGTTTCTCAAATTTGAAGATAGAAAAAGATTAATCTTTATTCGCACTAAGATTGAAGCTTAGTTCACACTAGCAATTTTGTGTTTCTGACGGATGCAAATGAGTGAACTCGCACACAAAAGTGTAGAGTCGCTTTTCAGAAGTAAACAATTCTAAGTCTTTTGCATGTCATTCATTCGATCACATTTCAGTGCCAGGAGGATTTCAGAAAAATCGCCGACAGAATTGCTAGTGTGAACCATTGCGCGAACAAAAGAAAACATTCAATGAAGAAGGGATGTTGAAAAAATTCACGAATGATTGTTTATATAGAAAAGTTACACGACTTCCATGCGCAAAGGAGATGAAGATGTTTTCCATTAGTAATCACGGCGCAGCCAAGTGGGATTCTCTTCGTCTCAGAAAAGCTATCCTTGGTGCTTTTCCGCATCCTCAAAAGGAAACCGTAACTCTGTCCTTTGGTTAGACTTGCCACAAGTCGGCCTCGACTCGGCCAGCGCGCCAAATTTTACTGACCCAAAAGGTTAGCACTAGTTTCCATCTGTGAAATTGACGTGACGTCATTTTCAGAAGATGGAAGGGGTGTTAAATGGCTATGAAACTAACCCAAACCCTACCCCTACTCTAACCCCTAACCCTAACCGCAATCCTAACTCTAACCCTAACCAAATTAATGAAAATATCCAGAAAGAAACAACTTTAGAAATTGATCAAATTACGAAATGTCAGTTTGGTAGATGGAAACTAGTGAAAACCGACCCAAAAATGGGTCAGTAACGCTGATCTATATATATTGTGTATATTCATTTGTTGACGATCTCTTCAACCAATCAGAGAAGCGTGAAAGGGACATGTTGACGTATTTATAAACAGACTTCCGGAAACAAGGAAATTGCGCAGTATTTCGTGTTCTGCCTTTCAACACTGTGTCTGTGGTTTCTGTGTTTGCAATGGAGAATTCGGTTTCAAAGGGGATTGAAATGGCACCGCAGTTTTCTGGCTATTTAGAGTTGAAAGAGTATCAACGGCAGACCATTGAAGCCTATCTATATGGCAGAGATGTGTTCGTTTCGGCACAGACAGGATATGGGAAAAGCTTAACCTTTGAGTTAGCTCCGCATGCTTTCGAGTACTTGTCGGAAAATAACAAGGGTCTAACAAGTCGTTGGTTCTCGTCGTCGTTCCGTTGGTCTCGCTTATGAAGGACCACCAAGTTAGCAATTTGGTCAGACCAAGTTAGCAGTTTGGTCAATTTAGTTCCTATATTGGGGACGACTGCTTCGCAAAGCGAAGTGACAAATATGAAATATGACGCACATGCGATTAGATAATGATGCGATTAGACAACTCAGCCCCCTGTTAATTGATAGCCAATAACTTATTCACATTTTTTAGCGCGAAATGCAATTGAAAACCCTGCAAGTATGACAAGTCGACCTCGCGCGAGCGACTTCGCGCTCGCTGCTTGCGTTTCGTTCAAGGTCGACTTGTGGCAAGTCTATCCATTGGTGTGTTGACAAGAGATACGGCGGAACGGAAAACAGATCGCCTTCAATGTGCATGCAATCCAGGCCAAAATTCATGTTGACACTTAATTATCCACTTTTGCAAGAATCCTAACAAACAGCTAAAACTTGACATTACGTTACGTTACGTTACGTTACGTTAGGGAGTGTTCATTATTTATACCCGGGGTTGGTACCGAAGAGAAACTAATCGAAAAGAGAAAAAAACAACCACCCACCCTTTCAGTCAACCATTT